TCACAAGAACTGAGAGACATAAAAAAATGAAAAGATGTAGTATCTGTGCCTGAAATATAGTAAGTACTAAAAAATAGCATTATATTGGTATATTTTTTCACTTTTTGAACTGAGTATTATGGCATCGTGTAGCTATAAACTCAAACTATATTAGAAAATCACAATTCCTTATTAAAACTGCACATCTATGAGAGGTAAAAGACTGTCTTTAATGACATAACAATTTAGGTGGGTGGGGGATTATATAACCCTAATTCTGCTGAAGTTAATATGCAGAAAATGGCCTTTACCTCATTTGCTTTAATTAGAGTGAGAGAATCAGACTATCTATGGACATGGTTTTTTTCCCTGCTCAATCTCAATAAACTATGCCAATATTATCAAGAAACAAAGACGAAATTAAATTTTTCAAAAAACCAAGAAGAGAATGTTAAGAAAACCATAACCAGGTAGCTAAGCAACAATATGTTCTTTACAAAAGAGAAAGCAATGAATTGAATGAGTTGTGCTTTTCAGAAAAGCAGAAAGAAATTATTAGAAAGAAGCCTGAGCAATTCATTAAGGATGCATTTCCTGCACCACCACCCCTTCCCCATCATATTCCAAGTCTCCGACCACACTGTCTTTTTCCTGATTTAGTAAAGGTATTGAGAAAATAGGAGCCTGAATCACCAGGTTTGGCCATGTGGCTTATAGTCACTTAAAAACTGGCAAGCTGCCATTTTATTTCAGCTACAAAACCTAAACAAGATTACATCATATTTTCAAGATTATATTTTTGAAAGATCAATCAAATGGTAAAACAGAATTAAGCCAGTAAATACACGTTAGTATTCTTTTAATATTTTAGATTATAGTTAAATATCAAATATAGCTTTAATTTCTTTTTCTATATTTTTTAATCTGTTACACAAATATTTCTGATTTAATAGAGCTTCTTCAGTAGCCAAAAACTGCTGCTATAGCCTTGAACTAAGAAGTAGGAAAGGAGTTTAAGGAAAAAGACATAAATATGTATTAAACATCCCTGTGTGCCTCTTTATCTGTATTATCTCATGAACAGTCACAATATCTCTGTGAAGTCATATTAGTCCCATTTTATAAAAACATAAAAATGGAAGCTCAGAGAGGTTAAGTAATTTCCCAAGGTCACAAAACGAATAATAATGGTTATGCTATCTAACATTCATTGCATTATGTCATTAATCTTCACAGAACCCTTCAAGATGGATGCTATTATTATGCTCAGTTTAAAAATGAGAAAACAGAAGTTAAGAAAAATGTTTATAGTCATGCAGCTGGCAAGTGGATAAAATAAGGTTAACCCACATGATCCAATCCCAGAGCCTGCCTGTTAGTGCTTGCTCTTTCCCTGTGCCATACCGTCTACCTTAAGAAGCCACCTAGTTCACTCCAGACAAATGAAAGTCCTTGTACAAATAAATGTTAAAATATAAAAAATAAAATAAGGAAGCTCCAGGGTCCTGAGACAGTAGGCCAAGGGCCTCAGCCCCACCCCACCAAATGTAACCAGGCCAGCAACAGAGCCAGCAGTGGGCCAGACCCACACCCCCTACCCCCTACCCTCCAACGACATCTTAGAATGTATGCAATAAAAATAAATAAATAAATATTTATAAATAAATAAATAAAATAAAATAAAATCTAAAATTGCAAAAGAGAAAAAAAGAGAGTCCTTGGGATATAATCCTGCACAGAATTGCTGCTCAACGAATGTCACCATTAGACTGAATCTTTCTTGTTTTTTCTAAAGAGCTCATCAAACAGAAAGGAGATGAGTTTAGACTAATAATTTCCTGTCACTTCCTTTGCAACTGGATATCCTACTTCAAATGGTGACAGAATGGAAGTGTCATTGTTCTTTATTATCCCGTTTATTTATCCACAAATATTTTTGAGTCCTATACCATGAGGCTACTAATGAAATAAAGCCACAAAGAAGACAACCGTGGTAGTAACTGTTAATAATTTGCTAGCAAGGAATAGCTCATAAGGCCCAATAATTACCAGAGTGAGAGATTTTTTAAGTTAAAATCCAGTCCAACTTTTTTATTTATTTTCATTTAAATTCTATTTTGTTTGACTTCATCGAGTCCCCACAAGGCCCATTTGAGGTAGTTTTCTGAGCCTGCCTTCACTGTTGAGGGGACAGTCATTCATGTCATTCATAAAGGGCTTGCTCAAGCTCGCAGAACCCACATCACCTGACCCAAAGTCCAGGGCTCTCTCTGTGAGCTGACAGTTTCCTCCTAGTCACTGAGATTCAGAACTTATTGCCAAATAAAGTCATATGCAGTCTTCAGACCCAAGCTTCTTTTCTGACTCAGAATCCACTAACTGAAGGAGAAGCTGGGACTCTAGGATGAAGGACATCCCAATAAACATAATGACAAATATACACGTAACAATAAGCTATGCATTTCCCCAAAGAGAACCCTGGCCATTTACTTAGATAAGTGTACACTAGGGAAAGTGAAATACCTTCTTGTGCATTGTTGGACACAGGGTTTGAGTTAGAATTGTTAATTGGGGACCTGAAGAGTTCTCCTCTTAGAGTGGGCTCATATAGGGGCCAGGTAACACATGGGATCATGGTCCAAGTCTGGCTCACAGTGTGTCCACTCAGTCTATACACCCATCTAACAGTCATTTCCCCAGCCCCTGATATTTAATCAGAGCACATGTACATGATAGTTGGTATAAGCCCCTACATTTTTCCTTGGTTCCTTGGCCAAGAGTTATCATAGTGGGGAAAGCCAAGTGAAAGCCCTGTAACTCCACCACCAGCTAAACAGACTACTATAAAGTCATGGGTTGGGGGATTAAGGGTTACCTATCAAAAGGTTCCAGCAATATGAGCCAAATCAAAATCAATTTCACAGGTTGGTAAAGCTCTCTCCATTCCTAAAGAAATGTCGAAATTTAGTTATAAGAGTTAGTTTATTTGCCTTTTTCTTCCTATACATCCTTAGATATTCTTCCATTATTAGTGAATATTTTCACTCTTTATATATAACTACTTATATTAACAATCAAATGTATTTAAATCATGGACAATGTAAGGTTTTTTTTCTTTTTAAAAATTCATTTTTTTCCCTATAGATGATGTAAATGCTGTGATCTCACTCACTTTTTATCAATTTTTAAGTCAGTGACTACTTTGGATATATACTGATAAAGGCTATGCCTAGATTAACCTTGAAACCATGTACAAGAGTAAAACCTCATGAAATTTTAAAGAGTTAGTACAGAGTTTGGGGAAAATGCCCAAATATGGCATAATGACTCAATTGTGTATGTGAAAAGGGCATTGTCCTAAAAGAATTAATCCAATGTTCATGCATAAACACAGATATCTACATTTTTATTTTCACGATTTTAGACAAGAATACAAAATTATTATTTAAAGAAGACTCTCGAATTTTATACACTGCCTGCTCTCAAAGACCTAACAAATGACCTGTTTATTGGTTTAATGAACTGATGGATAATCATGGGAGTGGAACTGGTGAAGAAGAAGAGACCTCTGCTAGCACATTAGCATGCTCTCACACTCTTGCCACGTGATGCCCTGCACCACCTCACGACTCCGCAGACAGTCCCCAAGGAAGAAGACCCTCACCAGATGCGTCCCCTCAACCTTGGACTTCCCAGCCTCCAGAATTGTAAGAAATGAATTTCTTCACTTTATAAATTACTCATTTTCATGTGTTCTCTTATAAGCAACAGAAAACTAAGACCGTAGCTAAATTTAAAATAAATTTTAAGAGTTCTAAAAACACCAAGAATTACTACAAAAATGTAAAAGAAGTCAGGTTCTGGTGCTAGACTGAGTCTCCTAGCTAGGTCCTGTTAGTTAGTAATTTTTTTTTACTTCTCTGGGCTTCACTTTCCCTCTCTATAAAATGCCTTCCTGTGAGGATGAAATGAGATTGTGTAAAACATTTAGCACAGTCTCTAGCACATAGTAAGTATTCAGTTAATATTAACCATTACTATTTCTATTATTTATTATTGGGGAAATATTCCCAAGTAGTAAAGAGGAATACTGGCAGTCAACAATTAGGTTCTTCCAGACACTAAGAAAAAACTTTTGGAAGCTAGAGGTCATCTTTTTCAAATTCACTACCAATAGCTCCTAGAAATTCCCAGTGTGGTAGTTTTTAGCACTGAACACAATTAGTATCGTACATCACAAAGACATCTCCCCAAAACTGCCACTGCTCTTGGGCCCTGAGCCCTCTTCTCTTTCCTCTCCTGTAGCCAAGATTGTCATCAATCATCCCCACCACTCAGTTTTCTTCCTTCATGCCTTATCTTTAAAAATAATAGTAATAAGTGCTTTAAAATCTACTTTTTACTTCTGCTGTGGCTTTTTTGGGCCCTGAGCCCTCTTCTCTTTCCTCTCCTGTAGCCAAGATTGTCATCAATCATCCCCAGCACTCAGTTTTCTTCCTTCATGCCTTATCTTTAAAAATAATAGTAATAAGTGCCTTAAAATCTACTTTTTACTTCTGCTGTGGCTTTCGATTTGGGCCTGGTATTCCAGATGCCATGGAATGCAAACAGCTGCTCATGACACAAACAGCTCAAAAGAGCCCCGTTTGACTGCACAGTAGGAAAGGGGCCACTTCCTAAGTTGGTGAAAAGTGACAGAAGTCAGTGTGATCTAAGTTTTATGTTCCCCCTCTCTCTCTTTTCTTTTTTGTGCTATCGAGACAAGGGCTGAAATGAAAAACTTTCCTGTGCCATGGAAGGAGATATAATGTGGATTGTTAAAACGTATTCATCCTTTCAAACAGTTTGACTCCCTGGGTAGATGTTTTACTAAAGCAACAATTTTTGGTGAAGTGATCATTGAAAATAAATTATTAGTGAGCATTTTCACTCCTTATATTAACTGAATAATAAACCTGACACTGGTGAAATGACGTGTAAGTCAGAAAGGTTAGAAAAGTCATAGTGACCATATTCTTTACCTACAACAATGCCGTAGGAAAAATACAGAAAGTAAATACTGGGGGCAAAACTGCTCAACATCAGGCCTCCAGCCACCATGAAGCCACTGAAGATTGTGACGGGTCTTGCTCCAAAAGATGAGACACAGACACTGCAGACAGGACCTAAAAAAAAGAAATAAAGCCATCACTTATTTAGCAGTAACCTCCCTCCCACAATCTCATGATCCATCCATCGAAAGTTCAAAATGGTTCTTTCCATCATAAAACAACATCACTCATAAACTGAGCACTTACGATGTGCCACACACTATGCACTTATTTAGCAGTAACCTCCCTCCCACAATCTCATGATCCATCCATCGAAAGTTCAAAATCGTTCTTTCCATCATAAAACAACATCACTCATAAACTGAGCACTTACGATGTGCCACACACTATATGAGGTACTTCACGTACACAATCTCATTTCATTTTAATCTTACTGTAGCCCTGAGAGGTAGATACAATCGCTATTCCTGTTTTTTTTTTAAATAAAGAAATTAAAGTTTCAGGATATAAAATCACATAGTTAAGAAATGGGGGTTCTGGAGTCAGACTTTATTCAAAGTCTAGCTCTACTACTTGCTAGCTGTTTGATCTCAGGCAACTTATTTGATCTTTCTGTGACTTAGTTTCCTCATCTGAAAACTGGAATGATAATATTGCCCACCTCACAGTGTGCACTGTTGACTGACAAGCAAAAGTGACCATTACCAGGACTTGTTCTATGCATAAGTGGGCGATGCTCATGGAATAGAATTTAAATGATAGTGAAATTCTTTCCCACTAGCACTCTACCTGGAAAGCACCCAGAATTGCAGAGCTTAGCATATTAGAAATAAAAGGCCATTAAGGGTTATTCAGCCAATAATCTTATTTTACATGAAAGGAAACTGAAGCTCAGAGAGGTTGTCCAAGTTCACAGTAGAAGAAAGAGCCAGGACTTGGAAGCAAAGAGAAGCATACCCTAATTGAGACGACAACAACCTTTCAAGGTACAAATTATGATCTTTAATTTTCAAAACACACACCCACCAGAATGGCTAAAGACAGACAATAGTGTTACCAAGAATGTGGAGCAAGCACAGTTCTCATACACTGCAACATTGTCTACTAAAGCTGAACATCTCTGTAAAACCCAGAAGTTCCAGTTCCATGTATACCCCCAATGGAAATACCTACACCAAAAGTCATGTGCACAGCTGTTCACAGAGGAGCTATTTATAATAGCTAGAAAAAAGAAACCCAGATGTTCATCAGCAATAGAATGTATAAGTAAATTCTGGTACATTTGCTCAATGGGCAATAAGAATGAATGATCTACTACACCCATGTATGTGTGTATGTCACAAACATATGCTGAGGGGAAGACATCCAGTACAAAAAAAATACAAACCATGTAATTTCAATTATAAAAAGTACAAGAACAGGCAAAACTAATCTTCAGTTAGAAGTGAGGACAGTGGTTTTCCTTGGTAGGGGGTGAGTAGTTAAAATCAGAAGAGAGCAAATCAAACTTCCAGGGTATTTCTCATGTTCTGTTTCTTGGTGCAATCATCCTGATTACATGGGTGTGCTCAGTTTGTGAAAATTCATGGAGCTATACTTTCATGATATATACACTCTTCAGTACGTATCTTTTACTTGTTTTTTACGTGACCTCAAACAGGGAAAGGATGGGATCCATCCACAGCCTCACTGTTACTAAGTGGCAGAGGCAGAATCCAACATCCCCAGTCCAACATTCTTCCCAATACTAGAGAATCTCTTATGCACGTATTTAAGACCAGCTTGTAACCACTGGGATACCACATTGCTCCCAATGCCTGTGGCTCTCCCACATTCCTCCCAGGCCATGAACTGGCCCCTGCCATTTTCAGAACCTCGTGTGTGAGCCAGTGCAAAAGAGCAGACTGACATATTCATATGACAAACAGAGGGGAATATTCTGTGCCAGTGTTTTAAAAGGAAAATCCATTCGAAAGACCAAACTTATCATAAGCTGTCTGTATATCCAATGAGAAATATTTGCATACCTCAAAAATAGAAATGGTTTTAAGAGTCCATGTCTGACAGCATAAAGACATGACCCTTCTCCATTGTTTACCAAACTACATTGACATTGAGAGTCAGTGTTTATGAATTTAACAGGCACAATGGAATTTAAACACCCAGAGATTATTACTGGCATACTTGAAATGTTTCAAGTTTCACCTCAAAATAGGATTTTAAATCTATGCTCCTTAATGCATGCTAATTCCACAAGGAAACCCAGAGTTTGGAAGTCTGGGGGTAAGGATGAGGGGTAATAATTTCCATAGCATGTACAACCAAACCACTGTGTTATAAAATATATAACATTATCAATTATGTGGTAAATTCTTAAGTCATTTTTGCCTACCACATGATTCTTTGAAAAAAATTTAGGCATTAGGAAGAAATGAGCAGAAATTCTTTGACAGATAAAAACAGCAAATTGAAATTATTTTTTTTAATTCTCTACTTTCACACTGCCATCTGCTGCTTACTAAGAGAAAAATATCTTGATGTCAGAGGTTAGAGAGAAAGAATTTTAGAGCTGAAAGAGGCCGTAGAAATGGTCCTAACATCTCATTTTAAAAATGATGAAACTGGAGTTCAAAAAGATCACGTGATTTGACCAAGAATCCACAGCTAATCAGTGACAAGGAAGGTCAAAGACAGCCCAGTGATCTTCCCAATTGAAAAGTATCTTAATAGGTATCTTAATTTTTTTTCTAGAATCAAAATACTAGTAAAGAACACAAATGTACTTTTGTTAATATCTTACAGATTACACGGTTTTTAAAATTTATGACAGATGAAAACATAACATTTATGATTATTTGGTATTTAAAAGTTTAGAGCAAATTGTTTTACCCTCATCCTTAAAACAAGAGTACTTATAGATTTGATTTCCATGATTTAACCACAATAGCCTCATATTTCGTCAATAACAATTAGGGCAAAGTATAACTGGAAGTGACCATCAAGTCACATCTGCAAATCATGACACATTTATATGTTTAGCTCTTTGTAATAGCATGCAAGTTCTCTAATATGATAAACCATGTACCACTCCTCAGCACTGGGCAAGTATCAAGAGAGAAATTAAACCAAAGGACTACTTGGGGGAGATTTCTCATGCTGCTCAGGTCTTTCACTTTCAAGAAGGGACTGTAGGAACAAAAGTTAGTTAACCCAAAACATAAACCAGAAATTCCACACCTTTGGACCTAAAAAATTTTAGAAAAACAAAAAGGAGAGGTTGCTAAATTTTTATTTTAACATGACATTTTTAAAATCGAATAACCATCCATTATCACCACCACTTTGTTAGAGAAAGACTATTTTAATAAGGAAATAGTGAGAAGGATATAATTTCAGAATAAAATAGTGAGAAGATACTGAGAATCTTACACACACACACACACACAGAGCCTCCACATATAATTTCAGAATAAAATAGTGAGAAGATACTGAGAATCTTACACACACACACACACACACACACACACACACACACACACAGAGCCTCCATCTTCACGTCCTTTATATTCATTTTGCCTTGAAAGCTTTCCTTGAACTTACAGCTGTGGAATGACTTTCATCTCTACTGGCGTTTGGGAGCCACTACTGCTCTTACTCCCTCCTGTTAGGAGATTAATCTTCCCTGGTTGGTTGAACTGAAAGTCCTGGGCTGAACTGTTAAGTGGCAGAGCTGGCAGTCAGCCCAGAAGAATGGCCTGAGGAAGGCAGATGACAGTATGGGGCACTGGCAGTGAACAGCTCGATCCTTTGTAGGTAGGGCGCAGGGCTCGTAAAACATCTTCTACCCTCCCGCGTACTGGCCTGGCAAACTTGGGCACAATGCTGACAAATTCCTTCAAAAAAGGTAAAAACCTGTATATTAGAGAGAACAAATAATCCTACAAACCAAAGCGAGGAGTGAAAAAAGAAAGGAAGATAAAGAAGGGATTTTGAGCCCAGCAGCCACTTAAATACAAAACAAAACAAAATATAGAAAATTCTTTGTTACTAGCCATCTACAAGTCAGACTGATTGATAGCAATTTCAGCCAGGAGAAGGAAATTGAAAACTCTAGCTGAAAAAATGTTTTGTAAGGATCATAAATGAATTTGGAGACTAGGGAGGACAAATTGCTTCTAAGGAAGTCAGAAAGAAAGGGATGACCGCTTCCTTCAGCCCTTCAGGGTAATTTGGGAAGAGACGACAGAGTTTGATTTTTGCTGGCTGTTAAAGTTAGCATGGAAGACAAATGCATTACCTAAAATTTAAAAATATGTTAGTAACATTATATTTAATCAAACAGAAAAGGGAATAATTGACCATTGTCACCCCTTCACTGTTTACCACGTATCCACTAGAGCTGCGCTGCACAATAGAAATACACGGAGTCACAGTTTGAGCTACATGGAATTTTAAACTTTCTCATAACAACTTTAGAAAAATAAAAAGAGGTAAATTAATTTTAATAATATATGTTACCTAACCTAATATATCTAAAATATTACCATTTTGACATTTCAACATCATTAATATTTTACAATCTTTTTTGTACTGTCTTTGAAATCAGTGTGTATTTTTTATACCTATAGCACATCTCAACCCAAATGAGCCACATTTCAAGTACCCAATAGCCACATATGTCCACTGCATTGGACAGCACAGCACCAGAGTCTCATATCATGTTAGAAAGGGACGCAGGGAAAACCACACACAGTCCAGAACCTAGACCAAAAGGCAAAACAAATACACATCAAGAGTTAAACTAAAACCCAAGGCCACAGGCAATACACATCAAAAGGAAGGTTTAGGCTGTGTATTTGGAGATTTCAGAAGAGAGAGATCACCCTGGGCCAAGCAACTGAGCCTTGAACTAGGCCACGATGTATGGTTGTATCAACAGAAGGGATGAAAATGCCTTCTGAACGGAGGGAACTGAAATGTAATTATGGTTTTCCAGTTTGTAGTTATTATTATATCTTTGGGAAAGAAATTATTCCCTTTGAGAAATAAACTCAACCTCCATGCACTTCTCTCTCCCAAAAAGTTTCAGAGAGTCCCACAAGTGGAAGGATGAC